AGCAGAGCCCAGCCCGGCGCTCCCGCACGCACCGCGCTCGGGCTGAGGTTGAAGCGAGCAACGCTGCAGCATGAATGGAACAAAACTCTTCGCTCAGGTTAAGAATGTGGACATAAACGTGAACCAGATGCTGATTTTTATACTGCTGCTACCTCACACTGATTATAGCACCTGCCTCCATTCAAAGGTGCCCTGTTGCATATTCATACACAGGACTTTTCCCCCTAGGTGTAAATTGTAATTAATGACTATGCCACTCACAGCAAAGCTGTTTACAGCTATACTAAGTTACCAAATGATTTTTAACATATGAAGAGAAGCATATTCTTCATCCCTAAAATATTAATTCCAAATTCTCCTAGGCCAAAGCTATTTCACAGCTTTGGGTTTTCCTTCCTGTGATACAGGAACTAGAGCTCAGGGTAGCACACCACACAAAGGCAGTGCACTTTCTGAGCAGGAACCATCTCCAGGATATGGTGTGATAAATAAGGCTCTGAGCTTTTACCATAGCATACTATGGTCAAGAAATACTTGTATTTCCAAAGCAGCATCACTAATTAAGAACAAATAGTGTTAAATGTATCTCCTAGCAAACAAAAAGCCACTTGAAACACAGCAGTCCATTCCCTTGCTTACAAGAAAAGTTCATGGTGTCCCAGATCCATTTAGACTTGAGAGACGGGAATTCAGTAAGGAACCAAATTCCCGGTTTGCGTTTCCTCCTCTGTCGCACCTGCATTTAGAGTAGCAGTCATCTAGCCAAATGACCGCTTGCTTTTTAAGGCAGGCTTCTATTTAAAAATGAACAGTAGGAAGGAAAACAAAATTTATTAGCACTATCTGATTATGTAATCATGCTAAATATTACAAGGAAGGAAAAAAGTCTTGTGTGATCAAATTAACTCAACAGTAATAAAGTATGACGTTCTTTACAAAGTTCCTTACCTGCTTGTGGTTTCCAATTCACTTAATTTAGTATGCCTTGTGAAAATGAATAAGTGATACCTCAAAGACAATTTATATTATATAGTTGCATAATCTGAATAACATGGCAGTGGTATGGAGGTATTATCAGGAGAACAAGGGCAGTTGTACAAGCTTTCTAACAAGTTAAGATGTAAAGCCTTAACATAAACATTGATATTTTTTCCTCTCTAAGCACTTACGTTTAAAGTATTTCATTCCTGTCATGAAATAAGTCATGTTATGGCATACTGCACTTAATACTCAGTGACAATATATATAGTTAGCTAATTCATAGTGTTCTCAGTATTGTAATCTGTGCATCATGTTACGTTCTGTAGAGGTGGCACGCTACTAGTATTAAACATGTCCACACTTTCACATTTTCAGATACTAAAATGTGGTAATTTGAAACTGTTTTTAAAAGATTTTCCTACTTTTTAGTTACTTTTGGTATTATGCAATATTTAGAATTGTGCCCTATCCTCAGCATCATACACCATAACCATATTTTATTACAAGTGGGAAATAACAACATTAGTTAGAGTAACAGAAAACCCCAGAAGTTACTACTTAAACCAGTCTTGTGTTCTGGAAGAACAAAATTTGTTAAAGCACTTGCAGAAGCCACATACTATATTGAGTGTTCCTTCCTATTTCGACCACAACTGAAAATTTCATCTTCCACAAAATCAGTTTTTAATATGCCGCAACTCCTCCTAGGTACTGATTACTTATTTACCTGGATATTTAAACACTCCTGTTAAAATTTTACACATCTTTGTCACCTTGATGACCCTCATTCTTCCTTCAGTCTCCTTAGGAAAGCAAGAATACAAGCTTATGTCTAATTCATTAATAATATAGTAGATTAATATACAGCTTTAATGTAGGGCAAAAAAAATATAGCTGAAATTTCACAACTTGGTCTTTCACTGAAGAATCTAAACAAGGACATTATTAGCATTACAAGGCCTCTGTTGCCTTTTCCTTGTTTAAATATGAATGATGAAGCTGGAATGCTGCATTAGCAAAACAAAAAGCACACAAAGTTCACTCTTTTCTACATTTTTCTACAAACCTAGAATGAGGTTTTGAAATCCTTTAGAACTTGAAATATTTCTGTTAATGGCAATGCAAAATTGCATAGGGGAGAATGGGGACATAATTTCTTAGGGTACATCAAGTTGCACGAAAAAAAACAAAACCCAAGAAGAGGAAGGTTGCCACATGTAAGTGTGTGAAACAAAACAGCTTCATGCAATGTCAAGCACAATTTAAAATAACACCCGAGCATTACACCTAAGTTTTTTTTAAAAAAGAACAGTTTGTCATGTTTGGTATTACAGGGATATAAAAGAACACATTAAGAACACATCTGTATTGGCAGGCTTTAGTGACCTAATGTAAATCAGGAGGTAGCTTAGAATAACAAAATATGTCTGTATATTAAAAATCTCAACACCTACTTATGAATATTTTAGTTCTTGATTCAGAAAAGTTAAATAAAAATCACATGCTGCACAAAACTCCAAAAAAGTCAGCCCTTAAATCAAATATATACATTTTTAATATCTGAAATATTTACACAGTGGAACCTTTACACGATCCCATTTGTTAAGAACAGTGTTTTCAAGTGTCCTCTCCAGATACAAAGAACTAGTAACTCAAGGTCACAGTTACGTTTTCTAAACAGGTCAACCTGTATCCTTCAGTTAAATACAATATAGAGATACTGGAACAGCTTTACTTAATTTGTTTTCTATTAAGAATTGTGTTTAAAAATTAAAAATGTTTTGAGACAGTTTGCTCCCTGGAACACAGTCATCCTGCAATCGAAACAGCTCATAGTACATCATTAATTTGACTTCTTACCTGGGTATGAGATAAAAAATGCAGTGTACAGTACATCTCATCATTTATATTACATCAGCCTATTTATAAAAACTCATACAGACGAGGCAGGAAAGTATTACCCTCTTCTCTTGGGCATGAGTCTGCTTACAGTACAATTGAAGAAAACAAGAGTCAGGGCTGGTTCAACAGTACACATTAAAACAAGACTTCAGCTTTGTCAACTGCTGTTGTTCAGTTACATTCTTTAACCTTTCCAAACAGGTACGTTTTCTAAATTATAAAAAAAATAAAAATAGAAAATAAAATCTGGTTATCTTGGAAACAATAGGGATAAACAAGAAAGGGCTAAAATGAAATTGTTCAGAACATATCCTAAGTTAAATAAAAAAAGCACATTAAAAAGTGCTTGTTGAAGTCCTGCTCTTATTCTAACTGAGCAAAGAATAAAAAGCCTTCCGCAATTTGCACTTTCTAAGAAAGAAGCAAAGCCTCTGCAGGACAGGCTTCATTTCCAGCTTCATTAGTAATTCTAAATAAGCAAAGTACCGAGACTCCTGTTGGTTCAAGCCAGGATAAAAAGTCTACGGAAACTCTTTTTCCAGAGTCAGAAAAGGTGACCAACAACATCACAGAAGAGTCTTGTGTAAAGCAGCTCAAGCCACTTGTTTTTAAACATATTTTTGTTACTTCTTAAACAGAGGGAGGACAACCCAAAAAAAGGCTGATAAGTTAGCAGTAAAATTATTTGTCTGTAGCTGACATAGTTCCACATTAAGTGCAAATGTTTTGCAAAACGGGCAACTTTTTAATATTTACAGAATCAGAATAGCATAACAAGATTACCAGAGAGCGTGTACAGTAGCTGCAGCTTATAAAACATACCGGTAATTGTACCTGGTGAATTATAAAGAGAACCAATGCAGGATTAAGATAACTATAACCAAGAAGGGCAAAGGAGGCCTCAGGGCAGAGGACAAAAATTTCACATTTTCTACATAAAAAAATACAGGTCTCAAGTCTCTGAGAACAGAGAAATTTCAAAGTCCTTGAATGATGGGGAAAAAATTGAAATGGAACCCTAGGAACAAGGAGCGTGCTTTATTTCACTAGACCAATCTTCTTGGCTTCTGTTTCATATATCAACAACCTCCACATTTTGACTATGAAAACTTCAGCTTCTTCATCCAGTACCTGTAAGAAATGCACATTTTTTTAGGTTATGATGATGTTTTGGTTATGAAGACTAATTCCAGTCACAGCAGAAAGTTTATCAGCTGTGGTCAAAAGAAAGATGACTAAATGTGTAGGGAGGATAGCAGTAGCAGTAAGCATTATGGGACAGAAATACCACTACCTTGGTCTCCAAAAATAGCAGCAAGAGGAGGCTTGGGAAGAATATAAGAACAGGACAAATACATAAGATGTTTTTCCTTAACTCTTTCTTAGCCTCAACCTGTATTCAGCTTGGGGATCTCCTTGGATACTGATAAACCCTTTCTTGAAATTATTCATGCTTCTTTTGAACACATGTAAGCTTTTAGCATGCACATCATCTCCCAGAAAGATCCCCGGGTCACCTACTAGTCAGACCAAGAACCACCTACTAACTCCTGTTATGAATTTAGCTCCTACCAAAGTGATGGCTCTGAGTTTTTAGAGCGAAGAGAACAAACAGCTCCTATCCACTTTTCAGTGAACAAAATCAAGGAGAAACAAAAGATTTCAGAGAGTTCACCCTTCCCATCATCAGGCAAAATGCAAGAGCCTTTGCAGACTTCTGGAGAAGATCAGCTTTTGTTCGTTACTTAGGGAGAGACCTACTAAAACTATAATTATATATAGTAAAAAAAAAAATAGTTACAAGAATAGGAAGGGAGAAGCATTCAAATTTCTGTTATAGAACTACGATGGCTGACTCCTCTCTCCTGCTAAGGGCAGAATCTTCCAATGTTCTTTTCTGAACACTGAGACTTCCTGAAAATCAATTGTTATTTTCTACGTAGATACCTTAACTGCAAAGCCATCCAAGTGCTTGGATAACTTAATCAAGCTGTTTTCACATCTACCTACAGAGTATGCATGTTATATGAATGTGAAATGCACTCCAACTATTTCACAAAATTCACAGTTAACATACTTCATATTACACTGATGCTAAGTTATACAATTCCTGCTTACCATGGCAACATCATCCAGTATGCTCTGTGGTGAGCTATGAGCCATAACCTGAAAGAAACAAATGTTTTTAGTTTGCAAACTGAAGGCAAACCACAAAAATATCCTTAAAAAGAACTAGACTGTTGTTTTTCCATGATTTTAAATGCTTTGCACATTTAATATGATTTTAGCATATACAAAACATTTATTTCCAAATCATTAGTTCACAGAAAAGGCCAGGGCAAAAATATTTTTAAACTATATCAACTTCCATTGCAGTGCAAGTGTTGCAGCTTATCGCCAAGAAACAACTTCCAGCAAACCCCAGAGATTCAACCGGAATTCTGCTGACTATTCCTGCGTCTCCGATTGGGCTTTCCCAATTTAAGGAAGGAGCATCCCTTCCTTCAACAGCCAGCTCTCAAGGCAAGAAGGCAAGTCAAAACTTGGACCAGAGAGATGCTGTCCCTATATCACTCTTAAATGAATTTTCCATCTGACATTTAAAGTATTTAAATGCTTTATTTCAGAACCAAGTAGCCTAAGACTAGAGGCTTTTTTTTTTTTTGTAATAATTTACAACTTGGCAAATATTAAACTTCTGCTTTGTGTTAGCCACCTGCACCCACAAAACTGTCGTCTGGTCTGCCTCTCAGAGTAGCAATAACAAGGACTGAGTCAAGTCACGATGAGCGTTAAGTACCACTAAAGCCAAAATGAGTTTTTGAAACCCTCTACTTCTGGAGCAGTTAAAGCTATACTGATTTGAACAATTTATTAGCTTTTTAGTTGCAATTTGATGGAAGAAGCTATGCAGAGTTTAATTTTTAAAAGTCACCCAATGGCAAAAATAGAGACTTGAGGCCTCAGAGTGACTTTGAATGCAGAATTTAAAATCTCAGTATTTGTTTGCCAATAAAGCAACAATATTAACTAAAAAAGCTTTCCAAATTGATCCATCTAATCTAGAAATAATGTAAAAGGAAAATATTGGCACTCTTCTCTCCACCCCAATTTATATATATATCCTATTTTTGTTAGAAATAGGAATGGCTAATGAGATATTAGCTCTGAAACCTAACGATGATCCTATCACTGTAACAGCTGTTTTGATAACTGCTTATTTCAATAAGCCGATAGATTTATCTAACAGATAACAGAGTATCTGGCATGCACATATAACTTGTAAATCTTTGGGTACAGATTAGTTCCAAGTATGTTGAACAATACCATGAATGACAGAGAAGATAACATACTGCCTTCAAACACAGACACTGCAGTCATTGTTGCTGCTTAAATTGGGAGCAAAAACCAGACTTAAAATTATATTAACCTTAGAACAAACAAAGTCAACTAGCGTAGCTTCTTCTTCACCAATATATTCTATTATTTTCTTGTTGATCCATGGCCTGATTCGACGTTCCATTAATGTCTGAAAGAGGAAAAAAAACTCTTATTTTTCATAATCTTTGTTGGTTTGAAAGGAGAGCTAGGAAGATAATAGGAAGAGACAGTTATAAGACGCAAACAACTAGTTAGTGAAAAATATGTCTCAATAGCAACTGCAAGGTAAGTCAGCGATAATAATCGTTTTTGCTAAATTTGAAAGTCATTCAAATATGTTTTCAGAGGATTCTTTTCCCCTTCCATGATGTTGTTAGACAACTTACGGCAGGAGTTCTGAAATATGACTTGTTTTTGCTGAATAAAAAGTGTACTTGGAAAAAATACAGTAATGGTATTCAATTCCATTTGACACTGCTGCTCTAATCCATTCTGGTGTCTTTGCTCTTTATTCAGTTCCGAGGCTTGTTCAGAAAAGATAGGCTTTTTTGAGAATGATTAAAACAAAGCAACTTACTGAATCCACAATCGACCAGTCAAGAGGATAAGCAAAGAGCTCAGGTTTTGCTGTGGGAATCTTCTCAATAAGACTCTTAATATGTTTTCGTTTTTCTTCTGTATTGACACTGCCTTTGAGATTGCTTTTATCTTCATCTCCATAATCCAAGGGGACAAGTTTCCTTTTCCGGGGCACATCATCACTGTCTTCATCATCAAATTTATTGAAAACACTATCCACAGCGAGCTTTTTCCTTTTTACAGCGTTGGGCTGGTTAGGGCTATTGCAAGCACCTACAAACCGAAACAGAATAACAAATTCATAAAGCTACATCTGAAACTACTGCTTTTTGCAGATTCAAGAAAGATTGGATTACATGTTGAATGTCTAGTACCGACATTTTAGGCTCTCAAAATTCATTACAAACAGCAAAAGAGGCAGAGATCATAATCTCAGCTGAGCTTTTTTCAAAATTAATGAAAAATAAGGTCTTTTTTTTCTTTATCCTGAAGCCAACTAGCATGCTCACTGAGGAGGGGAATTACAGCATGAGTTCGTCTCATAGTAAACACAGAACACAGAATTAAAACACTATGAAAGACAGAGATTTAATCTGATAACCTCATATGAGATAGGCTGTCTTCACTCAAGATCTAATACAGGTCAGCTCAAACTGTCAATGGTATAATTCAATCAAAAAGAATGCACAAGCCTTCTAGAGGACAATTAATTTAGTTCTGCTGCTCACAATACTTTTTCTTTCTTTTTAAAAAACTTCTAGACAATTTCTAACATGCTAAGGAACTCCAGACTCATGCTCCATTTGCAGTTCTGTGATTGGTTGTGCTACTCCAAGGTAGGGAGGGGTAGGGAAATCTCTTTTTCAGTTTTCTTAATTTAAAAAAGATCTTTTTGAATAAATATATGAAAACTATTTAGGGGTTTAAATCTAAAATATGCTTACATTACTAAAAAGTAACAATGGGTTTTAAGAAGTATTTAGAGCTCTATTAAAGTGAAAAAGTAGTGGCAATAACTAATTCCAGTTCACTCTTAAAAGTTAATCCCTAAGCATGCCCAAGCTCCCTTCCCTTTCACTCCTCCAGATTTTGGGAGTTCACATACCTTAAAAACAAAAATACACAAGCATCTAGGTAACGAACAGCTCAAAAATACCATAAATTTGGAAAACTCACTGGCTACTCAGCTTGACTTTTTTCATTCCGAACATAGAACATTAAAATAAAATGAAAACTTGCCCAATTTGAGGCTAAGTCCTATTTTAGGCCGATGCTCCTCTGGCTGCTGTTGATCAGGTGAATTTTCATGAGGAATGATAATGCCACATGGAGATTCATCACCAGGTGTGTTAGGGGTTGCATTTCCACTAGCAGAAGAAACAGATGGGGCAGAACTGATGGGTCTTAAAGTTGGTTTAAGACAGGGCTTTTGCTCAGGCTCCTCCTCCTCTTCCTCTGGCTCTTCTCTTTTTTCCTCTTTTTCCTGCTTTTCCTCCTCTTCTTCCTCAGACTCTGGCTCTTGCTTGATTTGCGGCTGCCTGCGCCTTTCAGCCTCCTGCTCCATCTTCAATGAAACAATCAGAAAAAAAAAAAAAGAGAAAGAAAGAAAAAAGCTTTCTTAAAAATAGAACTACTTGAGAGAACCTAAAGATCCTCCTTTTCCTTAATAAGTCCATGTCCAACTAGACAAATACACACAACTACTGTCATTAATTCAAATCTAATGTTTTTTTTTAAATGCCATACAAAAATAGATCTGGAAAGGAGATTTTTGTTCCGTTTCCATTGTTCTTACTGGCCCTACCCCTTAAAAATATCATTAAATCAGATTTTATTTTTGCTCAGTATCACTGTAATGCCAAAGGACTACCATTTTCTTTATTTTTTTTTTTAGATCAGACCAACAGCTACTTACTCTCTGGAGTTCTGCATCTGGATCTGGGTGTCCTTCTGCCAGGAGGCGCTGCCGAATTTCTTCCAATTCTTCCTTTTCCCTTTTCCTGTCCCGTTCGTCTGCTTCCATCTCTTTCTCCCGGTCTCGTAGCCTCTTCTGAAGAGCACTACCCCTACAAGAGACAGAATTCACACTTAAAGAGCATTCCAGTTAGAAACACGTATGACAAAGCAAGAAACATCCAGTACAAACGCATCTCTCATTCAATAAAAATAAAATCCACAAGAGCAGATAGAGTCCTCTGTTTTTTGTAACATAAGAATTTAGGATACCAGTTCCCTATGCAACTATACAGTATTCATTGCATCCTATCAAACAGATGTACAGAATATGACTGCTGATTTCCTCAATTGGTTCTTGAAACGACCTATTATGATAAATTAGTTTGATTCTAATTTTAGTCATTCCTATACTTTTACTCCTTCCCCTGCGATCCCCCTTATTTTGAAATAAGACTGTCCTTTGCTCTGACTCGAGCTAAGCAATAGAAAGCAGCAGCTACTACTAAGCATCAGTAAGTTGCAGTAAGTTTCCCTTTCCCCTCTGCCACTTACCCAGTGGCTAAGAAAGAATTTAGTTATACAACCCCTACATCAAAGCAATCTCACAAATGGTAACTCCATAAAACTGTGACCATAAATCCAACAATTTTGACAAAACACACAATGACAAGTTTCTTACCAGGGATCAACTGAAGACGTACCTGTAGTACTTTGGATCATCTCTGTCATCATCATAATCTTCTAAGAATTCTTTTAACCGTTTGGCTTCTTTTGCCTGCAAGAATCGAGGCATAAGTAATGCTGCAAAATGATATTTGTCTTTCTGATAATTTTAACTTATAAGCTCTACTAGCAAATTAATTTAATATATACTAAGCTTTAAACTAAAAGCACAGATTTTTTTCAGCCAGAAAAACTGAAAGACTTCGAAATGACATAAATCTTCTTAGAATCTGTCAATTTGATATTGTATGTTCTATAGCATATAGTACATCTGTTACATCTACTGGTATAATCTCTCTGGCTTGCAGAGTGTTATTCCATTGTTAACATTTCGAAAGGTTTTTAATAGCTTTTTTGCTTCTCTTTTCTGTCTCAAAGAGGATGAGCATCGCCATCATTCAAAAGCTGCTTTAAAGCTTTAAGACAAAACTATGAGATCACAGAAGTCTCCGTCTTCCAAAGGTAACATTTCAGACAATTCTCAAGCATTATTTCAATAATTGATAACTTCACAGGTAGTAAATTTGACAGAAATTTACTCAGTGCATAGATATTACATGAGATGCAGGCACATGAGCAGCTTGTAAGCAGAAGTCTGCCCTAATCTGCATAGAATAGAACAAAGATTTTGCTAAACATCTGACAGAAATATAGGTCACAGACGTAGTAAAACATGATGATCAAAAACATGGTATTTTGTAGCTGTGTGACTCTTTCTTTTGCCTCTGCAAGACCCGCACTGCTAAATTGTGTTTTCCAGACTCTCAGTAGTACTTCAACTTCTAATCAGACATTATCTGTTAGAAGTCTATTAACTCAAGTCTGCACAAACGCATATGCAGCTATGCCAAATCAGAGCCCTATCACTAACTATAAAGAAAGCAACAGAATGCTCCAATCTACGACAAAGAAAAAGGAAAGCCTTACCATTTCTCTTCTTCTTTCTTCCTCCCTTTCAGCCTCTTTTTCATATTCTCGACTTTTCTTCCGTTCTCTGATTTCCCAGTTTTTAAGACGCTGTAACAGAAGAAAAATAAATACAACAATTTCAAAAACATTAAAAACAGCTACAGTATACAGAATGATTTAGATTACTGTTTAGAAAAACACTTCACTGAAGTTAGCAAGCTGTTTATAATTTTAAACCTTGGAATTAGAAATCTAATGTTCTTCTGAGATTTAGGTACTGTGTCCCAACCGGTACAATCACAGGATTAAAAATGTATTTAGGAAAAAAAAAAGGGAGAATAAATGGTTTTGTACCTTACACTCTTACACTAAAAGAGTCTTTATCACCTGTGAGGTAATATTTTCCTCTCGGGAACCCCTTTAAGAAAAAAAAAAAAAAAAGATTACCTCTTGGTACGCAGCTTCTTTTTCCCGAAGTTTTCTCTCTAGCTTTCGGCGCTCGTAGGCATCTTCTTCATCTTCTTCTCGATCTCTCTTCTTATCCTTTTCTCGTTCTCGTTCCCGTTCTCGTTCTCTCTCCCGTTCTCGCTCTCGTTCCCTTTCTCGTTCCCGCTCTCGTTCCCTTTCCCGTTCTCGCTCTCGTTCCCTTTCTCTGTCTCTGCTTTTCTCTCTAAAGAACAGAAAAGTTCCAAATTTAAGTATTCAGCTTCATCTCCACTCACACACGGAATGGATTAATGCACTATTTGTAATATTTTACAAGTTATTTCCCTTGTGCAATTGTACAAAATGGTTAGCCAACACATCAATTGTCATAAATCAACACTTCAAATACATTCAAGTTTGTAGTTGTTTGAGCACTCTGATCATTAAGAAGGGATGTCCACAGAAACCAAGAATGAGTACATGGCAGCTCCCAGTGTGTGTTAGTGCTTCCCTCACAGACAGCTAAGACCCACAGACCCAAGTGAAACACAAAAACACCCAGAAAAAAAAAGTTCACTTTATAAATCCTTCATGTTTACAGGGCTTCCAGACACTAGGACCTTTCAATTTAAAATGATACAGCTCTTTTTACTCTGCTAAAGAGGATGAAATTATCTAGAGCCTGACAAAACTAGTCGCAGACTGAAAGAGCAAGCTTCTTGTTAAATACACACACACATATATATACACACACAGGGGCATGCATCAAGAAACATAAAAACTACTTAATCTAGAGAAACCTAGGTTAAGCAGCTAAAAGATAACAGAAGCAGAGAAAGAACCTCAAGTAGGAATATCACTACTCATTACAGACAAGAATAAGATTCTAGAGAAAAGCAGCTAAAAGATAACAGAAGCAGAGAAAGAACCTCAAGTAGGAATATCACTACTCATTACAGACAAGAATAAGATTCTAGAGAAAAACGCACATTTGAGTCATGGCTTGCTTGCTGCGTATGACTTGTTATACTGCTATACTGTGGGGAAAAAAAAAAGTACTCTTCAGATCTGCATAAATGCAGCATTTTCTAAAATCTGACTTCCTGCTTATAAAAGCTTCATAAAGGTTATAAAAGTTCAGTATAAACTGAACTTCCAGATAAGATGGTTTTTTGAATGGGCAGTCATCAGTGAACTATCTGCACTAAATGCTAGGAAAAGCGTAGCAGTCAGACAGCATCCCCAAGGTACTGACCTTGATCGACTCCGATCCTTGTTGCGATCTGAACTCCTTTCGCGATCTCTGTCACGGTCTCTGTCCCGTTCGCGGTCTCTGTCTCGGTCTTTAGTTCGGTCACGATCCCTATCTCGTTCTCGTTCCCGTTCCTTCTCCTTCTCTCGTTCACGTTCACGCTCCCTTTCTCTTTCACGCTCCCTCCTTTCTCGTTCACGCTCCCGTTCCCTTTCTCTTTCTCTGCGTTCTTTTTCAATTTCCTGTCTTTCTTTCTCCTTTTTGCCTTTTTCCTCCTCCAGTTTCTAAAAACCAACAAGAGAACTTTCACAGTTAATTTCATAGCTATAGAAACTGGATATTCCCGGCGCAACACACAAGGCTGGTAATGGAAATACCAAAACCGCCACTGATTTTCAAATATTACATAGGGTTTGGTGGGGTTTTTTTTTTTTTTTGAACTTGTTAAGTATGAAATCAAAATGCAGCAATCACAAGACTAGATTTCGTGCAAAAGCATAGATCTACACAGACCAGCAATCTCCAACCTTAGCAGGGCAGGGCTGGCCTGACCTTGTAATATAAGTTGACTAAACTGGACATACACAGTGCACTGCCAATCATGGTTCAGGTGGGCAACAAATTCCATAGGTGAAATAAGCCACTTGGGTACAAGCAAAGTGAGCTTTTAGCTGACAAAATTAATTCTGTTCAACTAGAAAGAAAAATTATATTCGAGTGGAATGCTTACTGGAACAGTGAATTGTTTCCCAAGAAGCCTTGGCAGACCAAAACCATCCTATATGAAAACTTGGGTAAAGAAATTTATCCACTTACACATGGTGCATGTGGTTAAACAGTGATGAGAGCTGCCACCTTTCCCCTTTTCCCCTCCCTAAAAAAAAAAAAAAAAAGTCTAACTGCTAATTGGTAAGAATGGAATCCTTAACTTTCACCACTGCAAGATGGAGAGAGTTAAAGAGAAAAAAAAAAGGGGGGGGGGCGGAATAAAGGTTGGAAATAGCTCTTTTGAAACACAGAAGCTAAAGGGTTACCTGCTACAGTTCTACTAAAAATTGTATAAAATTGGCACTTTTTTCAAATAAAAACAGTTCCTATGACCAGAATTCCTATAAGACAATAGAAAATACATGAACAGAATGATAGATAAATCCATCCTTGGAAGCAATTGTTATGTGTTAACTTACAGATGCTGTGCTAGGACATGGACCGCCAACACTGGATTAACCTTGCCTATAAGCTATGTTTCTGGGAGGAAGAGCAAGTACACGGTTCACAAATATACCAAATAACAACCAAATATACCAAATTTCAACCTAATGGATGTGATAACACCCATAGCACCACATTTTTGGAATGTATTTTGAGCAGAAAAAACAGGTTTATCCCCTTTGGCTCCACATTTACCACCACTGAAATGAAATTAAAAACCGGAACAATGAAATAGCATTTTCTCTCTTTTTTTTTTTTTCTTTCTTTTAAACAAAGCATTTAAGACAACTTTAAAAAGCAATCTTACCTGGTATGCATTCTTCTGCCATAGGCCAGGGACCAGAGAACCAACAAAGGATTACAGAAATAAAGCTAATTCACTAGCAATCAATGTATCCAGTCAAACTACACTGCATTGATAGCACAATACAGGCAAACCGATGTTGGATACATCGAAATCACAAAAGGAAAAAGGGACTAAAAATGGCAGGAAATTGGTAGAAAACTGATATGAAAAACAGAACTTAAATTCTACAGAATATACTGCGCTGAAAACCAGTTCCTATAGGGCTATATAAGAACTTTGTGTGTTAAACCTTTGTATGGTCAGATGTTAAATCAGGCTGCCACTTTTAAAAATCCAACTTACCTCAAATTTCATATTAAAAAAAAGCTTATATGCTGAAGTGGTTGATACTTACAGGTGATCTTAGATGTTCCAATAAAAATTTCTTTGGTTGGACTTCTGCTTTTTTACCACTCTCTTTGTTCACAGTGAGAAAAGAAAATTTCTCAAGAGAGTGTTTTTTAATATATACATATATGTAAATATATACACACAAAAAATCTTGGTGTTTCAAATCCGTTTTGTAGGTTCACTTTCTTAAAATCCAATTGAAAAAATGGTCTCTCTTGTAATCAAAACCTGACCTCACCAAATTCTATCAACCTAAACAAGAAGATCTGAAAGGGTAATGGGATGGGAACGGTATCAGATAAACTGAAGCAATGAAGAGAAATGAACAGGTAGAAGAATTATAGATCTTACCTTGAGCTCTCTTCAGACTCGTCCGTGCTGTAAATGGACGCCCCCTGCAATGCTGATACCCTGACAGTCTGTGGTTATTGTTTTATAATCTCATACCAAAAACATGCAAAGGTTCACTGTGCTCACTAGCCAGCTGCATGAGATTCAACAGCCCCTTTTAAATGTCATATCCAATATACACAATGACTACTTTAAGTTGATTTTTAATGTTAAGAGACCCAAAACAGTCCCCCAAATAATACAGATTAAAGGCACTAAAATGCCAAACAGCTTCTGAAACAATGAAGCATTTTTTGTTGTTGTTTTTGTTGGGTTTTTTTGTTTGCTTTTTTTTTTAAGCATATGACTTGTTTGCATTTTATACCAGTGACTTGTTAGGGCTTGGAATTAAACACAATTCTACTGAAATTCCACCAGTGACCAGTTTCACATTCGATTACTGAGCTTCTCCAGATGCTTTCTCCTAGATTTTTTTCCCCCACAGGTTTTTATTTCCAACTTAGCTAAGACAAAAACTGAATATATGTATTTCCGGCAACATACAGGCACTTGTGTTTACATTGATACAGCTGTATAACAACATGGTACCTCCCCAAAGAATACACAAGGTAAAGGTGAATAACACAGGCATACTTCACCTTGCTCTACCTTCAACTTTTTCATTAATGTTGACTTGGGGTATTTTGAAATCAAAGCGTGTGCTCAAAAGAGGAGCCTGCTGATACTTCTGTGGGCCCCAGTCTTGGGGAAAAATAATACCATCTTTAAGCTAAACATTAAAATAAGAACATTACATGCATAGTTGTGCTTCACTATCCATAAGCACCATTCTCCAAAGCAGAAACATTCACAGATGCACTAACATTAACAGAAACTTCTATACATGGGAATCCTCAGGTGGGATTTGATATGCACAAACATTTCCAAGCCAGTTACCCCTTTGCATATTTTTCTGAGGGGGCATCCATAAGTATAATAAAAAACAGAAGCTCATACTTACATCCTATTCCATGTTACTTTCCAAGCTGTGAGTTTCATCTTGCATTAGTCACCATATGATCTCTATCATAATGGTGGGGGTCAATGAATAGATTAGCTTAATGGGAATTTACAGTTCTTCCATGCATCTAAATTTTGGTAAGTCTGGTAACCACTGACCTAGTTTTAATCTTCCCCCACTCTTAACTTAGAACTATTAAAATAAAAGACTTAAATTTATTCAAATTTCAACTCTTCATAAAATCTTGGATTATGTTATAAATCTACCTACAGAAACACACTCAAGTGTATGTCTTATATTGCAGCCCCATTTATTTAGTTATAAGTATCTTGACTTAATGTATGTGTAGAAACTTAAGTTGCCTTTATTCATGTTAAAGTGAGATGACTGCAAAGTAATCAGTAGCAATCAAAAAATCTTAGCATAAAGCCATCAAGGGCCACTTTAACGCGGCATTTGTCTTTTGTTGATTTCTAAAGAACTACGTATATTAAACCTAATACAAACAGCATTTTAAGTGATATTGCAATGTACAGCTACATTTTTAAAAGTGTTTTTCTGGATTTCGAAAAAGCCTAATTTGTATTAAGTGTAAAAACAAGAATACTACCTTGTGTGTGTCTCTGAATTTACTGATCTCTCTTGATATCAGGTCTCTTTTGTCTTCCTCCATTTCTATAGCATTTATATCCTCCTAAAAAACAAGGGGACAGGTGGAAAAGCATTAAAAGCCATCTGTACAGACACAGAACAAAAAGAGAAAAGCTGAAGGTTAGAAGTTTTCAACCAGTCTTGTAAAAGATAAATAAAGTCCTTCTGCAGTACCAAACCTGACAGTCTGATGTTAATGAGTGAAAAAAAAATTAAAAAAAAAAAATCAGATGGACAAGAGTCACAAATCTGGCAACTAGCAGTAAACATAGTCATTGTCAAAGCCTACAATGTAAACGAACCTTGGTGATGAGTGGATAAGGTATCAGTGGGGCCACTGGAAATCTGCGGAAAATCTGCGGAAAAATCCACGGAGATTTTTTTTTTTAAAAATAGATTGCACACTACTCTGAAAAACAATGTTTTGTATGTTTGCACTAGAAAGCAATATTGTATTGCTGTGATCTCATTTCTTAGTTTCAACAAAATTACAGAAGAACCTCGCTAATTCTCCCTTCTCTAAACTATTGAAATATAGAGTGAGTCTCATATTAGTAAGACTTCACCAAATTACAAAGTATACTACAGCATATTAGCACGCTATGATAAAGTCATAAATAAGACTAAGCTACACTTGTCAAAATGAACAATCAGTATATTTGTGGTGCATAAGTCTTGAATTCATTTACTCGCTAATTCGCAAAATTTGGTAAATTGCACCTTAAGCATCCTCGTAGTTAATGCGAATTAGCGAGGTTCCCCCATGCTTGAAATTGAAGAGAAAAAACAAAAACCAAAAAACAGATTCCACTCATTCTCATTTCCCCCCATACATTTTCATCTGCCCCACATCAGTCATGGCTTCATCCAGAAAAACTAATCACAGACTCTGCCGCTAACACCAGCTAGAGTCTTCTTCACCCCAAGTCTTTTAGGGAATAGATCCCACCCTCCACACAAAGGTCTGTATCCACTTTCCCCATTTTCTTCCCCCCACCCAACAGTCCTTCTCTCCTCTCTCCTTTAAGGGCAAGAGAACAATGAGCTAGGACCACCTCTTTACTCCCAGCTCTATCCACACAGGCCAAACAGGGCAACCTTCAAGTTTCTTTTCCTCCTTCCCTCTAGGAAAGGAAGGATGGGGTATAATTTCAACCCGCAAGTGCTATATTTTAAAAAGAGTATATTTGTCTACTTGACTAGCTCAGGTCAGTCTCATTCTAGATCACACAGAGCTAGCAGAATCTCTCCATCCCAACAATATCCTCAAGGCTTTAAGACTGTGATGGCCTCTTTCAGTTTGAGCTACCTGTCATATATATACCATGAGGTCATATATGTACCCACAACACAATTAACATGGTTACAATGCTTCTTTAAAAAATATACAGCTCATAGCATTAGACAATGACTCATTCTTAAATTCCCATCCAATAAGCATCTTCTCCCAAGAGAAGGGAGAGGAAAGAAACAGATTCTCAGCTCAGCACTCTCGTTATCTCAGGTTAGCCATAGCTACCAATGTTGTGGGGGCAGATGCACTCGCTCCCTGAGGGAGATGTGCACCCCATCTTGCACCACACATACACCCCATGAGCAGTTGAAACTGCCTTATTGCCTTGGAATGGCACTTTGCAAAAGACTTAAGTGAGTAAAAATCCTGGAAAAACAATTCTCCAGTCTCTTGTATATTAGGTGAGGCATGGCAGGTGAGAGAGACCACCAGGTTAGAAACCTGGTTGGAAAAGCTTAAGTCTGAGATTGCTCATTCTTATTCCCTCTTCTCCAGAGTTTGCTTTAATGCATTAAGAAGACCATTCGTAGAAGCAGGTGCAGCACCAGAACACTCATTTTTACCTAACATTTTTTGGCACATTACACAATACAGGAAAACCAGCTGATCAACACAGCTAAATCGACATCTGTGTCGAGTGATTTTGTGAAGTAGTAAGATTAGAAGGCACCTTTCATCCCTCAAGGATTCCTCAAAAGTTTAAGTATACACACAAGCAACTACCAAAATGCTTCCACGTTTGGTGAGACAGCAGCAGCCAGTTGAATCAAGGCACACTACAAGAACGCATATGATAAGCAAGGAGAGGAAGAATTTGTCAAAAACCACCAGAGCAAACTCCTGCCACTAAAAAAAAAAAAAAAAAAAAATGCCCTCGCATCTTTCAATGCCAATGCAAGGTATGCAGGAACTCTTTTCAGCCGTTTTTAAAGATCTTGTCTGGAAAAACCTATGTGTGAGCACACACACACACATTACACTGCACTGAATTCAGCATTTCCACCTTCAGAAGGATGAAAGGTTGTTTGAAACCTGCCCAGATTCAAGCCTCTTGCGCCAAGAAGTCTAGGTGCTTAGACCCCTAAACCATCCTGAAGGGAAAGTTTCTATGACTGACTATATTTCAGCTTAAAACACGAAACTGCTGCTGACTTCAGTGCTTGTTGATTTGTTTTCTCATCAGAAGTTTAGGCTTATAGTATTTGCACAAGGTTTGGCCCTTATGTAAGGTGAGCTGAAGAAAAATCTGTTTTGTCCAAAATCAAAACACATACGTCCTCCTTCTTTTCCTTTTTCTTCTTCCTGGGATGAGAGTCAGATTCCTGGGAGGGGGCATTGAGCTCGCTGGAATATTCTCGTATTAAGACATCAATGGCCCCTTTAATTATCTGATCTCTTCTCTTCGTTTCCTCATCCAGTGCTTCATCATCATCATTCGTTGTCTCTGGTCTGGAGTTCTAAGGAGAAAATGGCAAAGGAAGAGAAATCAATAAATTGAAAATATTAGTTTTATTTCAAAAATTCATCTTTGATCATCATATTTATATGCCTAGAGCATTTATTAATAACTTAAAAATAGCTATCAGCTGTGCAGTGTATTACTCAGATCTTTTAACACAAGCAGAGACAAGAGATCATACAGTTTTACATGCAGAATCACTGCAAAGAGCAACTGTAGGACTGTGTAAAAAAAATAGAACAGATACATAGTGGTTGAAGTGGTAGACAGGAAAAACAGCACATGCTTTCACAGAAAGGTAATCACTATAATCCAAGTTTGGGTCAAAAGTTTATACCATCCTTCCTTCAGAGCTTTAAGATATTTCAACAGCAATTCTTCAAAGCCTACTACTTTAGTGCCATGCAATACAAATATCTACCTCAAAATTTAAAGTTGCAACATATAAAAGGAGATCTATAATAGAGGAAATATTGTCAGAGAAAGTATTCCTCACAAGGCAAACATTTTCTTATTGTTGCTGATTGATTACTTCATGATTCCTCTCACCTTTTTGCCCCTTTCGATGTCATAGGGAGAAAGGGGAACAAACACAAAGTGCCTTTCGGTGACCGCTACGTGAAAGAATATAACATACTAACCTGCACGCTAAGTAAGTCTGCCCGCTTCTCAATCCCCTCCATCCTTTAAAAAAATGGAATCCTACCTTAGAATCCATCTGGGTATGCCATCAAGTGATAGGTGGTGGGTGGGACGAGGGGAGGAAAGGATCTGATGGAACAGCAGCTAAGAATGAGGGGGAAGGGAGGATTCAGTTGGAGCTGAAGAGGTTACCAAGCCAAGGAGGAACAGGCTGAAAAGAGCTAAAGACAGTGACAGAGAGCGTAATTGAAGAGGACCAGGGAGAAGAAGTGATCAGGGAGAGGATCTAATTAGATAAAGGTTTGCTTGGCATGTCTCTCTAAGAAATCGCTTTGCAGCATGTGTTTGATTTCTTAATAAAATATTACAGAAAGCTGCAACCTTGGAATCTGAGTGGCACCAGCGATGGCAGGCACAGGTTAATTGAAAGAAACCACAGTGGCACGATAAAATATGCTTGATAAAAATTCCTCAGCAGCTCCAGACTTTCTCTGCTTATGAAAAGACACTTGGAGCTAATCTCACTCTCTAAGCAAAATAGGCATCTACTGTTGTCTTTGACAAAATGCAACTTCAAAGACACAAACAGCACCCGTTGCTTTACTGTAGCCATCCTCAACAACCCAAAGGAACACACAGAAAACAAAATGCATGAGATGTCCAAAGACTTCAGTGCTACTTTAACCTTGAGCACAGTTCCAGCTGTGAGGCACAGATATTACAAGTGACACCAACAGGAAACAAGGAGGCCTAGAATGGAAGGGGGAGGCAAATCACACGTTTTCTCCTAACATAGGTTAGCAGTTAATGTATTACTCCATTCTATGCTCATGTACTTAGTATTCTGCTTTACTGAGCCACTGCATTTAACTCCATAGGCTGGATAGAGGGTCGAAAGTGCTTCAAGTCATCGTTATGCCTCTTCTTTAAGTAAAAGGAAATGAAACTATGTGTCCCCACTACACTCTACATAGCTTTAAGAGCAAATCTGATGTAGCTTTCTGAACAAGAACCTCTGTTCACTTTCACTTTACACAAAGTAGTTTCTGTAAGCAGTAAATACCTTAAGGTATGTGCACAATCTTAAAATAGTTAAAGAGCAAACCCAAAAACTAGATTATAAAGAGAGATACATTATTTTAGCAAAGAAATTGATAAAATTCATTTCAATGCATATTCTGCAGCTCAGTATTTTTGTACCCCACTATAATCTGTATATTCCAGAATATACAAACATTAAAAAAGTTAAGAATTAGTAGATAACCAGTGACCAATATATGTCTTTTATCCTTAGAAAACAAGAGTACAAAAACATAGATATTTCCCCATCTCCTAAACATGGGATTTGCCTGTAAGCTGTCCACTATTCGATAACTGCATAGAATGATCTACTTCTAGAACATATGAATGAAAAGGAGAGAAAACCACTGCAGGATGGAGGGGAGAAACCCTGATTATCTTTATATAGGTTTTACAGTGTCTGCCACTGTAACAATTACTTGAGTTTAAAAACTTTTAATAGTTCATGAATAAAGATGGAGCGGCAGATTCATAACATAAGGCATGTGTTACTAAGCTTTAGAATGGATTACAAAATTCATTCTAGAGATTCAGTTGTAGTTTGCGGAGAAGTTGGCGGCACATTGAACTACTGCCATGATTTTAAAAGTCCGTTAAATGGAATGACTTGCATTTCCATTCTAATTCCATTCTAGTTCCAACATAAAACACAATTAAATAGATTTACATGGCTATGTAAATTTACTCAGAATAGCTACATGGTTAATCAATTTTAAATAACCAAGTGTGTTTACTCATAGTAGTCGACACATTAGAAACTTTCCAGTGTGCTTGCAAATGAGAGGCTTAGACTCCACTGGACTTCACTGTATCTTCAGATTCATTAATGTCATTTCTGAAAAATCCTAAAGTTAACTAAGGGCAGAGTCAAGAATAGAATCTCCAAGACCTGCTTACAATCTTATCTAGCAAGTATTATTTCAGCAGTCTCAAGTCACACATTATATACATACCCCATTAGAGGCCTTTTTCTTTGCTTTCCATTCGTCTAGCTGAGCCTTTGTCTTTGCATCAACTTTGACTAGCAGCTTCTTTTCTCCAATCTGGAGATCGTGGAGTAGTCTCAGTGCTCGTAGCGTGGAATCTGGTTCTTTGTACTCGCAAAATCCAAAGGCTAAAAGAGATGATTGAAATTAAATATAAGAATCTCTTCAGGTAATTTATTTTGAGGAAACAAAAAAAGTGTTTTGAATCATTAAGCCTATGCCTTTTTTTAAAGCCAGGAATATACATCATAAAAAAGACAGTCAAAAAGATCAGTCATTGCATTAATCTTTGACATCATTAATGGCCTTGTGAATAGAATTAAACGTATTCTGTGTTTGAAAGGCTTTTGACATGACTTTCTAAACTGAGGAAATGAAGTCTGCATGAAAGTACTGTGGAGCTGCAATTATCTGAAGGCCAAGGATGTCAACCAGTAGGTCACTGTTAAGCTAGAAGGATATTTCAAATTTGGTTCTTCACAACTGGTAAAGAAAGTCGTAATTAAATGAGAAAAAGATCTTACGACCACAGTAAATAAGAAGTATGATACAACAAAAAATTGAAGAAAATCATAGAATGCTTAGGGTTAGAAGGGACCTCTAGAGATCATCTAGTCCAACCCCCATTTTTTAAGAGACAACCAAATGCAGCAGCAAAGAACAATCAAAATGCTTCCTGTATCCAGTGAAGAAAGGTCAAAGGAGGAAGGAAAAAAAAATCAGTTCAATTTGGGGAAAGGGAGAAAAGATAAACTCGTTTGGATATCAGGAAAACCTCCTTAGCAGTTAAGCAGGAACAGACTAATATTTTAAATGAACAGACTGCCTAAGAATGCTGCAGCAAATCTCCTTTCTGAGGGTAAATACAGGTTAGTAAACCTCTCTTAGGGATGGGTCTGTAAACCCTTGACTCTGTTTCTGAACAGAAAGCTGAACATCCAAGAAATACTCTGAATCTTTCTTCCCCACCCCCCCATTTCTTTTTTGATTCCAAGGACAGAAGATATTAACTCTTTACCACAAAATACTTAGCAGTTAAGTACTGTATACAATACCTATATTAATCTGTAAAAGTATTAGGATAGAAATGCCTCAGATATATATTTGAAAAGTCACCAGTAATAAAAACAGCAGTCTGATCAGAGATTATTAAAAGCACAAATGTTTACCTTGAAGTTTGCCAGATGCTCCTTGTACTCTCTTCCAACTCAAAACTAAACCACATTTCTGGATTAAAGATAAATAATATTTATTAAACATCTACTCTGGTCAGAGCATTGAAAAAAGCTTTATTACTTGCAACTATTGTTGCGAAGAAACAGATATGAAAAGCATAAACACTACTAGAAATAATTTATGTCCAATGTATAGGTTAAAAAAAAAAGTTGTGCTCTTAGAGTATTTACCAACTTAAAACTCAAGGGCACTAATGGGCACTATTCAAGGGAGTTGAAAAAAATTTACTTTTAGTTTCAATACATTACTTTCTAGTAGTCATTATTTACCAGCCAACAATAATATTTAACAAGCAGTGCAATGCACTTACCGCTAGAAGCTGCCTTATGAGCATGTCTGAGGCCTTCTCAGAAATATTGCCTACAAAAACAGTGGTAGTGGGACCACTGTTTTCATCGTTTTCTTTGACTTTTAAGCCAGGGTGTTCTTTTCTGACTCCCAAATGTTTTCCAACCATAGACACTGTGGTAGGAACTAACACCTAGAAAGAGAAGAGATTATAAGGAAGTGGGGTTTTGTTGCTTTTTTTTCCCCCCATAGTTTTAAGAGACTTAAACCCATAAGACAAAAGAATTGGAAATTATATTTCAGAATTAAGTTTTTATACGAGCATTAGCTATGCTTATGGAGTGAGATACCATAAATAGTTCAGGCTCTCTTTTTTTAAACAAACAAACAACAACAAAAAAAAACACAGCACAAAAAGAGACTGACTTTTTCTGGCAAAGTAAGTAAGGAAAAAAATATCCCTCCCATCTGCCGCTAATGAGAGTATCAAGATCAGCACACACGATCAGACATTTGACTCACAGAAAGTTGAAGTAACTCACCTAACAAGAAGCTGATAATAAGAATCCTGTACTGGATTCTTAAAAAAGCAAACTGCAATAGAAAAGTAACTCTGACTCAAATAAAAGGCCTCAAAGGACTCATGACAAGCCTTAAAGCTCTTGTGGACTGAATAGGCACTATTGCTTTACTACGGCAATATAAACCCATTATTATAGCCTCTCGCTTTGGTTAAGGAGCAACCACTTGTTAAATAGACCATACAAAGATGGGCATGATGATCTGTTCTAGTTTGCTGCATCTCTCCTTCCACCTACCACCTGACAATACATATGCACTTTAATCCTTTTAATGAGGTTATTTTTAATTAAACTAACTTTCAGGACTGTGAATAATGCATTTGCTCCATCTTGGTATTATATACACTGCTTTTTGTGAGCATATTCTTGTGTAACAGAATGTGAACCATTCAAAACGTATTATTTGGGGGAGATTTCACTCACGCAAAAGTCAAAAATGGTAATGGCACTTTGAATCCAAGGAGCAAAACTTTAAAGTATAAAGAGCCCATTTATTTTCATTAATTGGAAGTCTTCTTACCAATCAGGAAAAAAAAAGAACTATTTTCATATACTCTTCTGCAAGCGTGCATTGCACCCAAATCTTCCTTCCCATATCAAATGGGAAAAAGGGGATTTGTTTGTAAGCTGCTCACACACCTTTCTAGCCAACTCAATCGTGAAGCATGATGCCCTCATAAACCTGGATTAGGCAATGACTCCAGAGCACCCTGCTGGGTCAGCAGTCTTGAAAGATTTAGAACCTGACCACACTGCACAGCTAGGCCATGCATGAGCACAAGGTACTATTGCCTAAATCATTGTAGTTCAGGGTAATCTTTTTGAAGAACAGCAATTGCTCCAGTACTGCAGCTAGCAAGTACAGACATGTTTTCAAGCTTTGCTCAGGTCAGAAATTAACACTATTAGAATAGCTGCATTCAAACCTAGGCAGTTTCTTTTACAATATGAATTCAGGTGAAACACAGCAAAACAGAGAAATACTACTATCCTATCTATTAAGAAGTATGAAAGCTTTACTCTCCATTTTCCACAGGAACTTGAGGAAAATTTTCTTGACAGTGAAGATAACAGAACACTAGAACAGGTTGCCAAGAGAGGTTGTGGAGTCTCCTTCTCTGGAGATCTTCAAAACCCGCTTGGACGCAGTCCTGTGCCACGTGCTCTGGGTGACCCTGTGTGTGCAGGGGGGTTGGACTAGATGACCTCTAAAGGTCCCTTTCAACCTTAAGGATTCTATGACTATAATTTTATTTGCCTATCATTTCATCTCCAGTATAACACTTACAGTTGGAGCAGGAGCCATAATGCCCATTGGCACAGGAATCATAGGGGTCCCTGAGAAAGACAAGATATTAATATTAAACTACCTTATTAAGATTGCTAATGAACATAAATTAATCAATTGTAGACATCATTTCCAAACCAGAAAACAATTCTGGTCAAATAAAAATTCCACAGTATTGAAAACTACCAGTATTTCCTAAGCATTCGAGCACAGCTCATTGACACTATACAGCAAGTAGATTCTGGTCAGGTTCTTATTTATCAAGAATATGATATCTGGTCCTGTTCTTATTTATCTTCGCATTATTTACAAAACAGCTTAATACTAGACACATAGAAAGCCTCAATCTAGAAGCTTTGTACCTGCTAAGCACTTGGCTTAGTCTTTAAAACTTGATTTAGAACAGTATTTACTCAGGTGAACCATGCACTCTTCCCACTACAAAATTCACTGGCAGCCTTAAGTACCATCATGTGAACTAATATCTGTTCATAATAAAGGCTGTTATTCTTTGTATGCCAGCTGCTAGAGAGGGATAAAGATATTGCATGACTAGATTTCACAGCCAGTCCCATTATTAAAAAAAGAAAAAAAGTGCAAGAGAGAACAAAAAAAATCAAGAACGCTGAAGTGAAGCCCATGTTCTGCACAGAGGAACACCATGCCCAATGCAGTTAGTTTTCTTAGACAAATCTATAATTATCTGCTCCCTGAAACTATCAGCCTAATATGAAGCAGAAGCCAGGAAATCAAATGAAATATTGAGCATCATCAGAAAAGGTACCGCCAGACATACAAAGCTCTACATATCGAGCAGTACACATGTAAGCTGCCACTATATGCCCCAAGTCTTGATTATTGCACACAGATATTGTCTCTGCAACCCAAGAATAATCTGCAGCCTAGAAAAGAGCACTGTGTGATTCAACTGGCAAAGCAGCCTTAGAAGTAAAGGTCTCCAAAGTGGAGGCTCATGAGGCATGGATCAATGTGGCAGAACCACATAAGGCAATCCACCAAATTCCCACAGCCTTAAAACTGAGGCGCGCTCAACTGAAACTAGTAGGAAATTATTTTAAAGACAGACATATAAAAGTAGTACTTTATACAGGGGGCAATAAAGTTCTGCAATTTGATGCCTCAAATGCACCAAACTTCATATTAGCGAACCTGTTTGTTCCTTATGAAGTCCATGATACCTGCTAAGTCTCCAGCCAGATTAAAAGAAAAAAAAAAAAAAAGCTACAATAAGACAGAGAACTGAACACAGAACCCACAAGCTCCAACAGAACCTTTCATTATGGGGCTACCTCATTCTTCTATATTCATCATGTTTTAGAGCATGAAAGGATCCTAAAACTGTTGGGCTCCTCACCAGAAGTATCTAACACAATATGAAATACATTTTTGTTGCTTCTTTACATTTTCTTTCATATTTAAATAAGAATGGCAGCACAAAGCTAGCTTCTACCCAATTTGAAGATTCTCTGAAAGTTGCTGCCATATTTTCACATCACAAATGTTCAGTGTACCAAGAATTCCCAAAGGCTGTAATGCCCTATTTGAAATCAACTGAAAACTGCAGTCCACTATCAAAGCAGTGGTACTCAGTTAGTGTTACTGAAATACATTTACTCAGAATATCTTTTGCAAGTAACAGAATTTTAAATAACAAAGGGTAACTTCTTTCTAGAAAAGCTCCATATACTACCATAACTTACCAGGAGGCACAGGTGGAGGAAAGCCAGGAAACTGTGGAGGTGGAATCCCGGGGGGAAGCGTTGGGATTCCCATGGGAGGGCGATTCAAATGAGGTGGAAAAGACATTCTTGCAGTTGCAAACTATCAAAAACATAGAAAAAGAAAACATGGCACTAGTCAGTTCCCAAACATTAATTACAAAAGCAGTGTAACTGATAAGTATCTGCAATGATTTAAAATATTTAAATGGACATTCAACTACAAATTGAAACTACCCTAACTTTTCTATCCTTGGATGACCATTAAGTCACAGATACAGTAAATATCTTTCACAGTGAAAAAATAGCACTATCAAAGTGTTTCAGAATGAACAAAAAAACAGAACCATAACTGACCTCTCATACCAATGCTGAATTAAACCTTTTGTCAATGAATTTCTTAAAAAATAAATCTTCTCTTCCTCTCTCCATATCTGAGCACAGAATTAGTCCTGGAATACACTTTTCAGTAAACCAAGCTGTTCTCGTGTATAAGAAACAATCACTTACAAAACAGATATGGAATGTGAATTGTATTTAGTAATAAGGACATTGCAGAAGTTCCCAAATTCCAGCCCAGAGGCAGTTAAAAGCTTGGAGGAGTTCTCCTAAAGAGTTCTCAATTTATTTTTAACTTCCCAGTTCCAGTGTCTTAGTTCAACTTGTCCAAGAGCTGAGGCTTCATATGCTAACACAGGTAGTAGAGAACATTTTATAGTTTGCTCACAAGATGGTTATTTTTATGTATATACTACTGACTATAACGGACACCAGTCAATGAGGAAAAAATTAGAGCACTCTTAAAACTAATGAGGCATGTATTTTTTCTCAAAGTATTATCTCATCAGCCTTACATGGTCAAGTCTTTAAAAAGCGCCTGCCCTCTCAATTCCAGAAACTAAATGGAGCACTGCAGCTGAAGGTAACACAAGCTAGATCTCTGCACTTAGGCTCGTGAAAGCACACTTGGCATTCCAGCATGTTGCCACGAGCCCATGGGTACATACACACTGCAGTGAAAAACCACGAGAAGAACTTCAGACATAACCCGCCATGTGGAATACATACACATATACAGCTCGATAGCATAACTCAACCAAAGATAAGTCACAATGGTAGCAAATGGAAGCATTCCTCCAGCAATCAAATAAAAGCTTATTCTATAAAATTTTATAGAGCATAAACAGAAACACTTTCTGTTCTTCAGAAACAACATGCTTAAATACATACTGTCTTTTTTTCCAATTTTAAATCAAATGGGCAAAGAAAAAGCTGCCAAGATGAACTGGCGAACAATTTTCTCTTTCACTTGGAGGAAAAAAAATTAAGAGGGCTACAGCAGTATTACACAATCTGAGGGCCACAAAACCTTAACAAGAGAAGCTTGTAATTCTTCAGGGTGCCTGTGGGGGCAGCTGGTTCTCCTGCTCTGATGAGTATTTCAACTGAGACACCATTTTGGGCTGTGTGTGGAACACCAAGAGGTAAAAAGCTCCTTTAACTAAAAAAAAGTAGAAAAACGATCAACTAAAAAAAAAATTTGCCTGCATAGCCACAGACATACATATATATACACACACACACACATATATATAACATACATTAATTGGTATCCAAAGGAAAAAAAAAAATACCACTCACAGAAAATGCTACTCCTCCAATGAGGAAGTAGGTAATAAGAACAGAACAAATTTAGTGTTTCAATTTTCTATCAGATATATGTAAAATGCACTGCTAACCATATAGCTCCAAAAAGTTATCAACTCTGAGCACTATATTCTTTTTTCTTCCACACTGAAAGGCTGTTTTTGCAACACCTCTGGCCCTGAAGACCATCAACACAAAAATTGGAGAAAGGTTTGGTCTTGCTACTATCTGTAAATACTAACATGAAGCTGTCAAAGACAGGAGTTTAATTCTATTTTTATTCTATATATTAAAACAAAACAAAAGCCTATAGAGTACTCAGGAACCCAGTCTGAGATTGCTCACTAGAGAAGGGATATATATCCAAGGGTGAGAAAGATACATGCACCTCTCTGTAGCAGCCAAGAAGCTGCAAGGAAAGAACTTTTTTTTTTCCCTTCTGCTGTCACCAATTAGAGAAGATTCAAGAAAGGTACAGACCCTCCCAGCAGTTGGAGGTGGTACAGCATATCTGTGCATGCAAGCAAGCAACTAAACAGTTGCTTACTTGGAGCCGCAACCCCAAGGTCCACACTACATGTTTTGGGGGAGTTTTTATTTCAGACTCGCTCTAGTTTGCTCCAGGGGACTGATGACCGTTGACAGTTAAGAGTGCATTTTTGGTGTATTTCCATCTTAAAGGAATCCAGGTCATCTACTGTAATAGTGCAAACCAATGTGCACTGAAGGTGGCTAAGTGGGGCCGACTGGAGACTTGCTTCACAAGCATGTTCCTGCTTGGAGCTAACACACTAATGGAGGTGTACACTTTACTGCCCTTGGGCAGCTTATCCAAGATGCACATTAACAATGCCAAGGATGGCAAAATATCTAAGATTACTCTGAGCAGAGCAGCTTGGATCCAACTTGAGTTATGAGCTAAGGCGAGTATGATATAAAAGCAACTACAACAGTCCAAGTTGGGCCCGGGCATTTGGTTGCTTTCATACGTGGCTTTTCTGAGTTAATAACCCCCAGTGGAACAAAGCTGCATGCAGAGCCAGCTGCATCAGTTACGGGATTACAAAACTTGGAAGAATACAGGAATATCCATATGCCCCTAAAGTTAGGTAAGGTCCACTGAGACTTATTAGTTCTGACTCTGTGTCAGAGTAAGTGTGCTTTAATATTCAGCTGAACCACATGGGCTCCCAGGGCTGGCCTGAGAGCAGGCTCAGCTGAAGCGTGTGAGACCGTAAAGAATGTAAAGTATATGAACTGATGGCTATACTCATTCAGACATTGCTGCCACATGCTTCTGTGATTTCGCTGGCTGTCAAAAGACCGAGTAAGATGGGAGTGACCATATGAGAAGCTTTAGCAAGGCAGTAATGACAGGACATGTAAATAATAATAATTTTTTAAAAAAAGTTATAATGTCTTTTTAACCTATTTTTTCATTTGCTTTTTTTTTTCCCTTAATAAAGTGACAAATGTGTGTCAAACAGAACACATGCTTATTAGTTAAATACCACTGGTAGCTAGTGTCTTCAAATCTGGCAATTGTACCGCCTACTCACAGCAGCCATCTTACTTCTACTAGTGTCACGATTGAACTAATTAGTATCTAAAAGTGCTTTCATAAACTGTAACTTTTTTTTAAAAAACACAACCTGCAAAACATTTTGTAACCATTTTTAGAACAGCTATGTCTGTATGAAACAGGCAGTTACAATATTTGCTGCTGAGCTTTAGTTACACCAAACAATATATATATACACACACATATAAATATACACAGAATCTTTGAGTATTTTAGGTCCATAACACTACGCTATATAATATCACCCTAGTTAAAGAACTGTTATAACTACATATTCAGTAACATCTACGTTTCACTGAAGCGTCCACAGAAAAGCTCTCAAAAGTAAGTGTTCAAACGCTATTTGAGAATAAGACTATTTTTATTATGAATCTTACAAGCCTTTGGCATTTGGTTTCAACGTCTGTATCAATGTAGTATCACAGATTAAACAATAACTCCTCCTAAGTTATGTTGGAGTATTTTATACCTTTTAACCACATCTAAGTGTTCAGCTGAGCACCACAAACATTTTAAGAAAAACTGGAAACAGCGTATGTAATAAATAAGCCTTCTAGTGCTATTATGCAGGCTTTTACATCACTCTCTAGAAGGTCTATGGATTCTTAAGCTATTTGTTGAGCTATTTAAGCCACAGAAAATAACTAAGCCTACAGTTTGCCACCAAAACTACTTATTTTACTATTGATATAAACAAATTATATTTCTCAAAGAAAAAATCTCACCTTAAGTCTTCTTTTTTATTATTATTTTTTTTATTTCAAGCAAGCTGATGCTCTCAGTGAAGAATATCCAACCCCTTCTCACACAGCTCCATAGCCTTCTCTAGATCTGCCTGCATGCTACACAAGGTATCACCGTCAAACACACAAAAAAATATGTATTCCGATAAAACAGAAAAATTTGCTTACACTTGTCTGAGATGATGGCAGTTGGTGAATATTTCTAAATCAAGTGAGTTGCACCCCCAACTATTACTCTCTAATGTCTAAAAACACAAAGTGCTTACTGAAACCGACAGGTTTGTCCTGAAAGCCTGTGACACCAAAGCAGGAAAAACTTGAGTTTTGCTCCTAATTCTGTGCTCATGCAAAGCGCAGTCTGAAGCGACTCTGCACCTTAACCTGGCTACTCCTTCATTCTTCAGGAGTAAGAATAGGCTGTGGCAGCACAACACGGTTACTCAAGAGAGAGAAGCAGACAGCTGCTAAGGGCTAAGAGAGCTCCCTCATAATAAACTTAGAAGCAACTCGGTGCCTGCTTCTTTAGGCCTGCTTTGGACTAAGTTACTTTTTAATAAATGCGGATGCAGGGCATGGGCAGCAGTTCTCTTCTGACTACAAAAATAACAAAAAAAAAAAAAAAAAGGCAAACGAATTTTGATCAGAAGAGAGGGAAGAAGGGAAGAAGGGAAGAAAGCGGCTTGCGGGCTATTAAGGAAGCATACGTGAACACTCCCTTCTCCTCCCTCCGCAGACAAAGGCCTCCACTCCCCGCAGCAGGGCATGCCAAGGTGCAGCTGCTCGGGCCGGCAC